TCGCTTTGGATAAAAGCGTCAGCTAAATGAATAAATGTAAATGAATGTACTTTGACTCCTTAAACCTGGCCCTGTCACCCTAAACACCTCTTCCTTTTCCAAACTCAGCTGTCTGAGCTTAGCTGTGAACCAGGGTTTGTCACTCACCCTGGTGCGTGTTGGGGTGCAGCTGTCCTCAGAGAAGCTGATGTAGCATGTCATAGCCTCTGTAATCTCATCACCACCAAGAACCATAAAAAGGGGGTTTGTCTGCTCCACACACAGTATCTGGTCAGCCAGCTTGCGCTGTGCATTGTGCACGTTGCCGTGCAGCAGAATGTAAACACCGATCAGAATGAATGAAGCAAACTCACGGGGGGAGTAAAACGGTTTACACTTTATGATTAAATATTCCAGATTAGGAGAACAGTGCTGCTGAATCACTGCTGAATCACCATTGTTAATATAAAAACAGATACCTCCACCTTTTGTTTTGCCAGAGAGTTCTGTGTCGCAGTCCGCTCTAACAGTTAGAAGCCTGCCAGCTGCAGTGCTGAGCCCGGTATAAGTTCAGACAGCCAGGTTTCTGTGAAGCACAGAACAGAAGCTGTATAAAAGTCTGTTTTTCCGCACCAGAAGCTGAGGTTCGTTCAGTTTGTTCCCCACCGGAAGCTGAAGTTCGTCCAGTTTGTTGCACAGTGAGCGCACGTTGGAGAGAAATATTGCCGGTAGCAGTATGCGGAATCCCCGCCGGCAAAGATGCACGAGCGACCTGGCTCTTTTCCCTCTCCTGTGGCTCACAGCGCGAGCAACAGCGATAGAACCCTTCACCAAAATGTCCAATAATTCCCTGATGACTCGAGAAAAGTGGGAATTAAATCCGTTGGAGTGGTTCCCCTGATGTTCATGAGCTCCTCCCTGGTGAAAGAGCACTGGGAATCACAGCCAAAAACTGAATTACCACACAAAGACAAAACAAAGCGCAGCTATACTCAGCGCCATCTTGGAGACACATTTTTCATCTCAATGAGTTTTTTTCCAGTTAAATTAAGGTATAATTAGATAATAGCTATAATATTGATAATTCTTGTACATGATAGCATGAATAGCACAAACACAGTGAATAGATTTGAGCGGCATAAGATAATACAGTATTGTATTAAACAGCAAGAGGGCCGGCTTGGCATCTGTCCTACATCCTTTCAGCTTTTTAAGCTCATGCCAACGAGTAAAAGCAAGTCCCATATGTACTGTTATCTTTTTCTCTGTCACTGTTTTTCTCCTTCACTTCCTCCAACTGCATCTTCGGGCTCTTCGCAGTCTCTGCCATGATATTCTTACTAACAAAACCGAGCTAGCTTCCTCTCATTGCTAGCTTGCTGAAAAGTCGTGTTGGTGTGTGTTGTCATGAAGTATTACACTTTTGTTGCAAAAAGGTTCCCTGTCTGGAATTCCAGTGTTACATAGGAACTGCAGTTTCGCTGTGGCAATGACAGAGATGCCATTCTCCCTATTACACGTCAGTATACCATGATTTTGAAGATGTTATTTTAAGATTAACTGAGTGTTGGCTTACTGTTTTCTTACTTCTGCTTCAATTAGTCTTATACCATGGTTGCAGACATCCATGACGACACTTTGTAATTTTGATTTATCTCAATCCTAAAATTGTTGAATCGCTGCATAATGTCATGTCTGAAGTTAAATTTCTGCTTAAGTTCAGTTGTCAGCTCTTGCCCAGGGTTTGGATTGGTGGTAAAGGTCCCTCTACTCGATGCCAGATTCCATCGTCTCCACGGTTTTCTTTCCCCTCGTCGTAGTTTTTAGATTTCCCCAAAACTTTCTTGCCTCTAGAAAAATGTCTAGGCCAGGGCGATGCCATCAAGGGAAACTATAATGCGTCACGGAGGTGCTTGGGCCCCAGAACAATAACTTCAGTTTTATCTGAGTTTAACATTAGAAAATTACAGGTCATCCAGGTTTTAACATCCTGAAGGCACATTTGAAGTTTAGCTAACTGATGAGTTTCATCTGGCTTGATCGATAGATATAACTGAGTATCATCTGCATAACAATGAAAATTTATGGAATATTTCCTGATAATATTGCCTAAAGGAAGCATATATAAAGTGAAGAGGATTGGTCCGAGCACAGATCCTTGTGGAACTCCGTGACTAACTTTGGTGTGCATGGAGGACTCATCGTTAACATGTACAAACTGAGATCGATTTGATAAATAGGACTTAAACCAGCTTAGAACGATTCCTTTAGTGCCAATGAAATGTTCCAGTCTCAGAACAGTACAGTCCTTTGTCTGATGCAGTTCAGAGGTCATTAGTAATTTTCACCAGTGCTGTCTCTGTGCTATGATGAACTCTAAATCCTGACTGAAAATCCTCAAACTATTGCTATGTAGAAAGTCACACAGCTGTTTGGCAACAGCTTTTCTTGGAGAGAAATGGAAGGTTAGATATAGGTCTATAGTTGGCTAAAACATCTGGATCATGGTTGGGCTTTTTCAGAAGAGGTTTAATTACAGCTACTTTAAAGTACTGTGGTACATAGCCTGTTGATAAAGATAGATTGATCATAGTAAAGAAGTGCTGACTAAGGGTAAAACTTTGTTAAGCAGCCTAGTCAGGATGGGGTCTAAGAGGCAGGTTGATGGTTTAGATGAAGAAATTATTGAAGTTAGTTGGTAAAGATTGAGGGAAGCAAAGCAGTCTAAACATATCTGGTTTTACAGCCGTTTCTAAGGTTCCTGAGTTTAGAGATAAGTTGGTGCCATTTGAGGGCAGGTCTTGGTGAATTTTGTTTCTAATAGTTAGAATTTTATCATTAAAGAAGCCCATGAAGTTGTAACTATTGGGAGCTATGGGAATACATGGCTCAATAGAGCTGTGACTCTCTATTAGCCTGGTTACAGTGCTGAAAAGAAACCGCAGGGTTGTTCCTATTTTCCTCTGTTAATGACAAGTAGTACGCTGCTCTGGGATTACAATGAGCAGCAGAAAGTAGGAGAGCGAGAGGGAGAAAGAGAAGCCATCACTAGCTGCTGAGCTAAAGTCGCGAACACCTAAGCTAAAGTACGGTAGCGCTAGCTACCTAAACTTTTTGAAAACAACTATGAGATTAAACGAGTAGTTAGGCAAAACTACTGTAAGAATAAGTGTTTAGTGGACAGTTAGCCGCTGTAATGACAAATCTAACTAATTTAACTGGATTTAGTCAGAGCAGCAAAACACGCTATCAACACACAAGCACCGGAAATGGAAATTCGCTTACCGCAGCACGTTGGCACGTAAACCAGCAATTTCCGACGTCAAGAGCCCTCCTCAATTCATTCAAACAAAGAACTGATTCATTTATTTATTTTTTTTGGTAACATTTTAAAACCACTTCTCAGAAGTGGAATTAGTGATATTATAATATTGATTTAGTGATGGCTGTAGATTGCACAGCACAAATCTGAATTCTGTCGGAGTGTGTAAATCATCCAAAAATAAAATTCAAAATGGCTGACTTCCTGTTGGGTTTAGAGCATCGCTCCATGAGGCTTTTTAGTACGACTGGACATTATACATCTGCAACAGAAATTTCATACATGTAGGTGAAACGTGCAGCGGGGGGCTGCTTCGTTGAAGGTCACTTCCTGTTGCCAGCAGGTGGTGCTATGACTATGGGTGAATTTCGGCATTTACATGTGTTCAGGGTAGGATTCTTAATAAACGTGTAAATTTTGGTATAGATCTGAGCATTTACAGTTAAGTTACAACAGCTTCCTGTTGTACCCCCACGCCATTAACTGCAAACTCAACATGGCTTCATCAATGTGTTAGGGCTTTCTGGGACAGTTCTGAATTTATGTCCAACCTGCTAGGAGTAGTACATTACAGCGTAAAACAAGTCATTTCCTGTTGCCAGCAGGTGGCGCTATGACTTTGAGTGAATATTGGCATATGGAGCAGAATCAGAATCAGCTTTATTGCCAAGTATGTGCACACATGAGGAATTTGACTCTGGATTGTACATTGCTCATAATGTGCTTACTCATACAAAAATCACTATAATAAAAATAAAATAAAATCAGACAGACTTCAGTGTAGATAACACAAATATACACACGTATGTGTTCAAGGCGCGACTCTTATTATACATGTAAAATGGCCACGGTTCGAGCTCGGGCCCTAATAAATTCATCATCGAGGTAAAAAGGTGCCATATGCACATTTAAAGAGGTTACTTCCCCCAACAAAACACTAAAGAGGATGAAAGACTAAGTCATGCCTGCATGTGTGTTGACTCAGCACGGAGGATATTACATGCGAAAAGTCATCCTGTTGCTAAAAGAGAAACATATCTAAAAGCAACACCAAATACCTGAGAGCCTTACTGCATTATATTCGGGCGGGTTGCCCGTTAATCGGAAGGTCGGCGGTTCAATCCCCGGCTCCTCCAGGCTGCATGTTGAAGTATCCTTGGGCAAGATACTGAACCCCGAATTGCCCTTGGTGGCAGTTCCGCCAGTGTATGAATGTGTGTGACAAATGAATGCAGATGTAGTGTAAAAGCACTTTGAGTGGTCGAAAAGACTAGAAAGGTGCTATACAAGTACGGAGCATTTACATTTATTCTTTGTATAGATTTTGAATTGTCACCTGCTGCCTCACTTTTGTTTCCCTTTACCTAAATAAAAACACCATAAATTGATTCAGAAACATTAACCAGAATGCAGGAAATGAAGTGTTTTAACACTCCAAATTTTCATATAATTTGTGAGCTAAGTGTCTCATCACACCCCTACTGGTGAATTCCGTCAGTTTTTAGATAAGGCTACAACACATTCATATTTTGGCAATAAAAATGTAATATAATTTCCTTGTAAAATTACACAGTGTACCTTTTTAAAGATGTGTAGCTGACTTAACCGATTACAGCTCAAATGGGCATGGCGGTAATTCACCTGTAGCCCACCTTAATTCACCTCCATTATTAATATGAATGTTTTCTTCTTCTTTCAGGTGATTTCAGTGAACCGTACGCTGGCAGAGAGGGGCCTAGGTGTATGGGTGGATGGATTTTGAACTCCTAACACACCATTTTCACCCCATTCTCTTGTGATCAGCAGTCTGTGACATGAGTCATCCTAGGGTCCCAGGCATCTCTGGATCTAAGAAGATTGTTTTTCTTTTTTCTTGTTTTTTTGACCCCCTTGAAAATAAATTAAAAATTGTTTGCAGGTATAATCTAACAGAACACAGCACTGCTTCAAAATAAGACAACATTCCTCTGTTGTTCTTGTTCACAAAAAAACTTAAAGATGTAAAGGAAGAGGTACTAGTGCATTTTAAAAAAACAAAAACAAATCTATATTGTAACTAAATAAAGGTTCAACCAGTATTTTTTTTCCTGCCCCATCATAACTTAATGTTTAATCTTAGCATTTGCTGACTGATATGCATCATAATGCTGTGTGGACAAACACCTCCATCAGTCTATGTAAACACTTTTTTGAGTTTAATTGACACCTCAGCAATACAGGTGATTTTTGGGGGTTCTTGTCTGGGTAGAATGTGGCAGCAGAAAGGCTATAGAGACTCAACGGGTCCATGCACAGCAAAGAGCAGAAGAGGTTAGAGGGGTGGTACCTGGTGGAGCACCCAGCTAGTCTGCCAGGTCTTTTTTATTTCTCACTTTGTACATCCTCAATTTCTTTCCTCAACACCTCTTCTTGCATCTTAGTCTCTTCAACCCGAGATGCATGCGGAAGATGAGGGGAAGAGATGCAAGGAGAGAGGAGTCGAGGCAACAGGCTTTTAACATAGGAGACATCCTTGCTTTGAAGCAATGCCAATTAAATATGACGTGTACATCATTTGTCCATTGTTTTGTTATAGCCTGAAGCTTTATTTTCTGATCTGTCAAAAGAGCATACCGATTATCGGCACCAATAGTCTACATAATGACTCCATATCATAGCTTCCAGAAAAATGTCTGTCAGCATTATGACATGTAGAAACATCTCGATGTTGCAATTATGAGTAATAGAAAATTTGACCAACAGATTACAGTAGGCCATCATGTATGCCTACATAGAAATTTAGTAGCTAATTCCGAGGCTTTTTTGGCTGTGCTTTTTACCTGTAAACAGGTGATCCTTTTCAGCCCTCAGCCTGATGAGGGTGAGAGTTTCATCATCAGTCCCTGTGCATCTTCACTCATATAGGAGCCTTTTAGGAATTGAGATGCCCTTCAAGATGACACACTGATCAAGTTCCAGGTCACAGGCAGGAGGAGAAAAGAGACAATGAGGCACAAATGAGGGGAAATGAGAAGAGTCCACAGACTTCTCTGGGGTCTCCATCCAGAGCTGCTGCTGCACCTCCAGCTAGGACAGAGGAGCGAGGTGGTTGCCGTTGCTCTGCTATTCTCCACCAACTTGCACTGCGTTACAGGAGCCTGGAATTTCAACTTACCATACAAAATGCTGTTGAACAGCTTTTCAAATTGGTGCTCAAAAGTTGGCAAGATTACTGCAACTGCAATTTCTGACAGCATGTTAGCAAGCCAAAGTATGGCTGATGATGTACAACATTACGTAAGGACTGTTTGTAATCTGTTTTTAAAGACTGGCATAACTGTAAAGATGCACTCTGAAGATTTTTTTATCCCCAAAGTCCTGAAAGATGATTTTAAATAATTTGCACACAAAGAATTATTATACAAGATGAAAATTTTTAAAAAAGTACATTTGTTAAGTCTTATCAAAACACAGGTGGGAAAAAAAAGCTGCTGGAGGTCGTTGACTTGTGTTGACTGATAAACCATTAAAGACTAAATAATGGTAATAAGTCAGACTGATGTGGGAAAGAAACACTGTACAATTTCGTTTGCAGTGCTGCTCTTCGGTGTTGACCTAATTGTGTTAATCAAACCAGTTTTTCATTAGTATGCATGGTAAACCAGCCCAGGAGCACCTCTGTTTTCTGCTCTTTGCTGTGCAGACGTGTGTCTCGGGGTCTCTGTCATCTGTCAGCCTGTGTGTAAACGGGCATTGTGATGCAGTACATAGCAGGACCTTGTTCTTCACATGTGGATAACAGAGTTGACTTTGATTATCTAATTGACACAAGCCTGGATTTTTTAAATCTGTTCTGATTTCATGGGCCTGTATATCAAAGCAAGTTCAACTTGGTCTGGTCCTTTTGGGAATCCCTGGTTTCATAACTGGTATCACAAAGCTGGTTATATCAACTGCCTTGTAAACTCTGGGCTTTCTTGTCTGGCTGTGAGCACTTTCAGGTGAAAGAGGTGTTAATTACAAACATTATCAGAACTCTGTGACTGTACTTACTATGACATGAGATGAAACTGTGATATCCATTGGGAGATTGTGTTACTGAGGCAGGAAAAATATTTGACTAGGGGAAATGTGTTTAATATAAAAACACAACTTGAGCAGTATACCAAACTGTAGAAAATTATATTTAAATATTAAAAGTAAGGCTTTAAGTGTAGTAATGATCATACCCATTTAAATGTTTGGCTTTTTTTCTCTCAAGATAAGCAAAATGTATTATTTTTCATCACAAAGTTGCTCTAATGTTCTCATCATTCAGATGTAAATCACCATTCACGATGGCCTGTTTAGTGTAAGATTGCTTTAAAACCCAGAGTGCCAACTGGAAAGCCAACAAAGTGATTTTACTGATCTATGAAAGTATTTGTTGCTCTTATTGTCACTTTACCATAATTTTTCTGTGATCTGATTTGTCAGAATGCAGGCTGTTGACAGGTTTTGATCTGATCCTCTGAAGTAGCATATGTCATCATGGTAATCTTACCTGAAGTGAGCCAGCTTTGTGATACAGAAAAGTGTGAGTCAAGCTAAAAAATAGCTGGCTAATCTGCTCCTCTCACTTCATGATACAGGCCCCCAAATGGGAACAGTTTTGCTATTGAAATTCATTAAGATTTCATAGTGTAATTATGCTGCCTTTTCTACAAAATAATTCCAGTGTCACTCGAGATCTTCTGTGTTTGAAAAAAGACATACGTCTCCAGGATGAGAATTAACAAAATAATTTTAGATGGCTAATGTCAGGTAGAGAGGTGTTGTATAAAGTAGAATCAGAAAAGCAGAGCTCATTGTGAAAAGCTTGGCTTGAGTAAGCCGAACAAACCAGGATTACACTTGTATAAACCCAACTCAAAGCAAATATGAACAGTTAAATAAAGTAAGTAAGACAGGTTTTTATGATGAGTTATTTAAACCTACTTCATTAAACTGAAAACAAGCTCTGTTACCCAGTTATCTTGCTCAATGAAACACCTGTCTGTAGGTAAACCACATCACTGGTACCTGCTAAGCAAGAAGAACCACAGTCCCTCGACATATTACAATATTTTACTGCTTTTCAGTTAAATCTGAAGGTGTCGTAGTATAGACCTGTTTTTTCAGACATGGAATCAGAACGTTTATCAAATGTTATGAAGTCAGACCCATCCCTGTGTTTGCACACCTTATATGGCAATGTTGGATTCAGCCTGAAAGTGCTAAAAGAACCATCTAAGGGATTAATTTCCACCATGAATGTAATTTTAAATATAAACTCCATGTATGTCATACTTTTATTGGGTCTCTCTTCAGTGGGAATGAAATCACTGTTGTTCCAGCAATAATGCAGATTCATTTTGACAAAGTACTGAATGGGGAAATAGGTGTGCTTTAAGTGTTACATTTCAAACACTATGAACTAGGAAAGTTGCAAAGCTGTGTAACTGTCAAGACTTAATTCATAAATTCAATAATGTATCTCAGGAATGGTTAATTCCCTGGTTGATTAGTGAAAGGGGGATGAATTTGCTTGAAAAGATGAAATTCTTATGTTTTGACTGACTTGCATACAAGTATGAGTGCTTGAAGGTGTCCACATGTTGGTGCTGGAATTGGAGCAGTAGCCATATTGTCTGTTGTTGGCTTGCGTGCATCCTCCTTCTGTTTCACATTCATGGTCTGTCCCTTCTTTTTTACATCCACATTAAATATGCCATACTACTAGATTTACCCCCTTTACACAAACACAAAATCCCTTGCTACACCTCAAAATCTGTTTGATCAAACTAGAGTTTTGTTAATTCCGCTGTAAATAAGATATTTGACTGTACTTTTCTATAACACTGGAGAGAAAGATATAAAGGGAACATTATTATTTGTTTTTTTTTTGGTCCTGCCTCTTTCAGTCACTCAATGTTCTCAAACTCTGGGACTGATTTTTAAGTGTTTGCATCATTTGATTATTTAAATGGTTGTTAAGCTCTTGTGCCCAAAAGCATTTATCATGTACAGACCAGTTTTTGCTAGGCTCATCTTAAGTTTGATTTGTTGAGTGTACAGATCTATTAGGGGGGAAAATAAAAGTTATTGAAAGTGTTTATGGTACTTTCTTTTTTCACATCTTTAATGGTGAAGGGGCTTTTTGGAAACTCTGTCTCTGTCAACCTGTGCTGGTCCCTTGCTCACCACATCAATTTATAACTGGAGAGGCAGGTGTGCTGGTAAGCATAATGAGACTGCTCTCCACTTCAATAGGCACAGGTAGACCTATGGGGAAGATTAACATAAAAAATAATTAATTTTAGTAAGCTGACATTCATACGTTGGTTTCTAGCAGTGAAAAATTAGTTGGAGGCCTAAACTTACCAGCATAGTCAGATTCTTTGATATCTAAGATGAAGGTAGAGGTGAATAATGATGGACCTGCTATGAAATAATAAAGGTATAAAATAAATTGACTCAATTGAAATGACTTGTGTTCTTAGCAACAACAGTAGGAGCTGTGTTACTGACACCTGTGACCATCTTCCAGCCATGTTCTTTAAAGTGATTCTGGAGATGGTAGGAGTAAGAGGCCAAAATGGGCATATGTTGTATTGTTCTGTTTTGCTTGATGAACAGAACAATACAATACATTCCTTTATAGTATGTTATTTAGTATGTTGTTCATTTCCCTGGATGTTGAGTATTGGACAAACATTGAAAGAGCAGGATAAGTCAGTCTAGATATACCTTCAGACTTTGTATGTAGAACTCCAGAAATGGACGGTTGAAGCCACATTCATAATATTTTTAGTTAGCAAATCTTTAGTTGCGTCAATACCTAACTATTTAACAGTCTTTTTCACCAAAATACTGCATATACTATCATTATCTATATCAAATAGACTTAAGATTTCACATTTCCCTATGTTAAGCAGTAATCCCGAAGCCTTTGAAAATTTATGACTTAATTCTAAAGTTGTATCAATTAAATAAAGTATCATCTGCTAGTTTGAATTTCTTTTAGAAATATAGATAAACCATTTATATTGGGGCTGTTTAAAATCTTTAACTCAGTTTTATTTATTTAGTACCAATACACAACAAAAGTTTTCTCATTGCGCTTTTCATATAGCGCAGGTCTAGACCGTACTGTGATATTAGAGAGACCAAACAAATCCCTCCATGGGCGAGCACTTGGCAAAACAGGCAAGGAAAAACCTTTTAAGAAGCAGAAATCTCAAACGGGACCACGGCTCAGGGTGGGCGACCATCTGCCTCGACTGGATGGGGTTGAGGGAGAGAACTTGGGGGTTGGGGAGCAGCAGCGAACACAAAATCCACAAAGAAATATTACTGATAATTAGTGTGAGAGCTATAGTTCTGCAAGTCTTTGGCATATGATGGATTGTTTTTCCTGTTGGTGGCACTACAGGATTTGAAAAATTGCTGATGGAGCAGCACTTTGAAGCGGAAGCGGTAGCAGTCACAGCTGACAGCTCTCATACATATTTTTTTTTCCAAAATGCCCTTTCTAGTTCTTTATTTTTAGTTTGGCACCTATCTTTTCCTGTGCGGTTTGTCCCACACACTTTGTTTCAACTTCAAATTGTACGTCTTCATCATGAGATGTGCCCTCTTACTTTGTTGCTGATATCTGTAATGGTTGATTTTTATATTAATATTTGTATGCATTTTAGTTTAGGAGATATTTACTTCCTAAGTGAAGGGTTTTAGAGCTTTTTGGAGATTTCATCACTGTGTCACATGACCAGCTACAGTGCGGTAGAGAGAATTTGGCAGACCAGAATTATTTTTCTAAACTGCTGCCAGTCACATGTATTCATCTCCATAAGCACATAAAAGGCATTTAAATGTAGCCACATGCCTTTTCTCTCTCAAAATGCCAGTTTTTTAGGTTTAAGCCTTAATTGATAGGTAACCCAAAGTCAAGTTGTCATTGACTACAATTGATACTTCAAACTGACTTCTCCCCCTCTCACCCAACTCTTAAACTCTTCTGTTCTTCTTCCCTCCTGTTTGGAGTATGGACACATGCTATATCTTGTCATGTTCAGCTGCTCAAGCTCTAACTGAAAATGCCAAATTGACAGTAGAAATGTTTTATGTAAAGCAAATGCACTTTTCTAATAACCAAACATCAAATTGTGATCCTTGTAAGAAGTCTTGCTTAATAGCTCATATGGTAGACTGTCTGACTTCCAAGTAGCACTTCTTTATTTTTTATTTTTTTTAAACCTGTCCTGCCCAGCAGCCTGGTATAGAGTATAATGACCTGGATACTATATTGTGCCAGACAGATTTTACTTTAACAAGAGAGTATTAAAATACTCCTTTGTCTGTTTTATTATTTATTTAATTATGTATTGACCAAGCAGCACTTCTTATTCCAGATTTGATTTCAACCTCAGCTGACAGTGTTAATAGATTGGCTTTCAACTTCACACAGCTGTGTGGTGTTGATCAATCAATAAATCAAAATGTATTTATAGAGCACTTTAACAGCAATCACGAAGTTGCACAAAATGCTGTACAGAGATTAAAAGAAAACATCAATTTACAGGTTATCACATACATATAATGTATACCGTTAAAACACTAACAAATGAGTTCCTCTAAGTGTCATCCTCAAAGGTCAAAAACCAAATGGAAGAGATGGGTTTTAAGACCAGTTTTAAAATCAGACAGTCAGGAAGCCTGTCTAATGGTAAGAGGAAGGGTATTCCACAATTTCGGAGCTGCCACCACAAAAGCACGGTCCCCTTTAAGTTTGCGACGGGTTTTAGGCACTCTCAGGAAAAGTTTGTCAACTGACCTGAGCGAACAGGTGGGTGTATAAGGATGAAGCAGCTCAGATAAATAAGGGGGGGGGGGGCATTCAAGGATTTAAAAGTCAGTAAAAGAAGTTTAAAATCTATCCTAAATTGAATGGGTAGCCAATGGAGTGAGCGTAGAACTGGGGAGATGTGTTCATATTTACGTGTTCCTGTTAGAAGACGAGCTGCAGCATTTTGCACCATCTGGAGACGGGTGAGAGACGATCCATTCATCCCCACAAAAAGTGCATTGCAGTAATCTAGTCACCTCCGTTTTGTTTTCATTAAAACTTAAGAAGTTGAGAGCCATCCAAGCCTTTATGTCCCCTAGACATGCAAACAATGGTCTGAGAGTGTCATTACTCAAAGGTACATAGATCTGGCTGTCATCTGCATAAAAATGGAGAGAGATGCCATGTTTCCTAAGTATTGAGCCAAGTGGGTGGAGATAAAGGGAAAAGAGGGCCTAGAATTGAGCCTTGCGGGATGCCACAGAAGCAGTGAGCCGTGGGTAGACACAGAGTCACCACAGATGACACTGAATGTCCTACCTTTCAAGTAGGATTGAAACCATTTTAGGGCTATGCCTGTAATTCCCACCCATCGCTCTAAACGAGAGACGAGAATTTCATGGTCCACAGTATCAAAGGCAGCTGTCAAATCCAGAAGCACAAGGACCACACAGCATCTGTTGCTAAAAATATATCGTTAAAGACTTTTACGAGAGCAGTTTCGGTGCTGTGCATAGTTTTAAAACCAGATTGGAATGTTTCAATAATGTTGTTTACTGGTTTTAAACTACCTTTTCAAGGAGTTTCAATAAAAAAGGGAGCTTGGAAATAGGTCTAAAATGTACTGGATCTGCATGATCCAGTCCAGGTTTTTTTTTTTTTTTTTAATCATCTTTTATTGAAAAAGCATGTAGAATTTCACAATTGTTCGACATATTAAGTACATTACGACGTTGCTTTACCATTTTTAACTTTCTATTACAGTAACATCAGAACTCAGGTGTGGGTGGGGGGGGTAACCAAATTACTTCCATAATATTTATGTTATTCATTTTACCTTTCGAATCTGTGCACACTTAGTAAGAAGCAGCAGTGTTTACAAAAAAATCCCTCTAACATTTTTTTCAGATTACCTTCTTTTTCCCATTTCGCTTTAACATAGTGTGTGCTGTCTTTTTTACACCGCAGGATGCTGTTGTTTAACCTGGATATAATTTTGTTTTGTGCCCCTAATTTTGTAGTTAATGATATAAATGTTTCCACGAATCCTAGGTTGTTTAAATGCACTTTCAGGTCCTGGTTAAAATGGTGTCTGATCTGAAGATACCTGAAAAAGTCAGCAGAGCCTAATCCATGTTTTCTTTGCAAGGATTGAAAAGATTGGAGTGCCCCCTTGTGGATAAATGAATAATAATCCGTCAATCCTTTTAAAATCCAATTTTTAAATCTATCGTCATGCTGGTTCGGGGTAAAATCTGAAATGTACGCATACCATTTTAGGATTTTTGAAGTGTCCTCCAAACCACAAATCTTAATTGCTTCATTCCAAGCAGCTATCATTACATGTGAAATGGGTTCGTCTGTTAAAAGAATCTTATTCTGCAATTTGAAGTTTTAACTGGTATTGCTTCAACAGTTGTCCCCTCCACATCTTTCCATCCTGCAGTGTAATATGAAGAACACAAACATATTAATGGTCTGTGCAGCACAATAGTATTCTCGTAAACAAGGAAGACCACAACCTCCTTTATCTTTCTTCAATTGTAAGGATTTATACTTAACTCCTGGATTTTTTCCCTTTCCAAATATATTTTGACAGCATCCTATCCCACTCTACAAATTGTTTTTGAGGTATGAATATTGGTAAGAACTGGAATAAGTAGAGCATTCGGGGGAGAATATTTAATCATAATTAGCTTCAAACATTTTAGCGAAGTCTGTGCAATACCACCCCTAGATATCTGATACTGTCTGCCTCCCATATCCATTTGTAACTTTCCTTGATTTCTTCTGGTGGGTCATAGTTCAGAGTTAATACCTGTGTTTTATTTACATTAACCTTGTACCCTGAAAAAGAGCCATGTTCTAGTAGTAGTTTAATGATTTTAGGAACAACCTGTGTGGGGTAAGATATAGTCAATAGTAAATCATCAGCAAAAAGTGCCAATTTTTGTTCCCCACCTACTGTTCTTACTCCAGTTATATCCTCTCTCTGCCTGATCCACTGGCTTAGAGGTTCGATAAACAAGGTGAAGAGGAGAGGCGA